TTCACGTGTGTACGTATCTGTGTGTGTATGAATGTATTATGTATGTCTGTGTGTGTGTGTGCGTTAATGTGTGTGAGCTTGTCCGTATGCATCTGTGTTTGTGTGCGCACATGTGTATATATCTGTGTTTGTATTATGTGTGTGTGTGTGTGTGTGTGTGTGTGTGTGTGTTGCACGTGTCTGCACGAGGGTGTATGGCCTGTGCGGGTTCAGGAGGATGCTGTTCCTGGTCCTGTAGTAGACTGATGTTTGACAGGAAAGAGGCTGGGGGTGGGGGCTATGATGTAGTTTGCTCTTTCTTTCCCATCAATCATCTGTTTGCTTCTTCTTTCCTATGAAACATCTGTCATCCTTATCTCCTCTTCTTCTTTTTATGTTTGTTACTCTCTTTTAACACCTCTAATCTTCGGCACTTATATGACCTTATTGTGTTGCAAGTGCCGTAAAACACTTACTAAAACAAACAATCATCTATATTTCTCTTCCTTCTTTCCGTTGCTTGTTAGTCTCTAGTAATACCTCTAAATCTTCAGCACGTATACAACCTATTTGTGACGCTTGTACCAAAAAACTGTTACAAAAACTAAACCTAATGGGAAGATCCTTACAGTCATACCACAGAAATCTTTTCCATTATTTTTCTCAGATGGCCCCAGCGGTAGAGTGTTTAATCAATGCATATCCGGAATACACAGCTGTGGAGAGTCTTCCTCTGGAAAATGTGCCTGATCAGGTGAGAGGGGGATTGCTCTGTTAATAGTGATTAAAAGCAATAATTGCATTTAGGTAGCACATATATTAGACAGCGAAAGATCTTGTCAGTATGTTAGTGTTTTAGCGCCTATAAATGGCTGCTTGCACTGTATGCTTCCCAGGAAGTTGAGATTGTTTCAGAATGCTCTCAGGTCTGCTGGGAAAATAATATAGATTGTGAAGCGCATAGAGCTTGCTGTTGAGCGGTGATTTGCGCTATACAAATGCTATCTATTATTATTATTTATATCAAAACTCCACAGCATGCTCTACAGGCTTTGCAATTATCATTTCCCCCATCAGACACTGGAATACTCGGAAACATTCTTGGCCTCTCGGGAAGCAGTCCATTATAAACAGACGATTGAGCCCTCAAATACTAACAAACTATCAAAATCTTTTGTCGTCTATAGACTAATACCCATTCTCACCTTGGTGAAGTGAGGGAAATTTGTGTAAAGTACTTTTACCTTTCCCAAGGATACAATTTTGGACCCGTAACAGGATTCAAATCTATGACTTTTCAGTTACAAGCCTGACTGTGTAAATACTAGATCACAGATGCTCTCTGTTGAGAGGGTTAACCTGCTTTCCTTATGTGTATGCTGTTTGAATTCTGTGTCGGTTGATGCAGTATAGGGGTCTCTTCAAATTACGAACAATAATATTTGTGTTGTTTCTTATCTTTTTAGCTAACACATTTTCCACGCATCATCAGGTTCCTAATAGAACTTGGATTCTTTCCTTTTGTTTACAGTTAAACATTGTGTCTATGCTGTACGAGAAAGGTTTGCTGATTACCTCGGAACCTCTGGAGATAACGTATGATGAGCCGGGAAATGAAACAGAGGATGACGATTGAGAGATACTGGATGGAGATAATTGACAGGAATGATGGTTGTGGTGTCATCTTTTGCCAAATTGATTTCCTTCTTGAAGGAATGTGTAATTTTTGTTTATCACTTAGTTTGTGTGCCTGTTGTTCTGTCTGTTTGCCCTGCTTGGAGACGTTGCAGGTGGGAAATCCAGGACTTTGTCTCTTTTCCTAATGATTTAGATTTGCTGAAATATTTTGCTATTAGGATGCAGACATATTGTTTTATTAGAGAAAAAATGCTTGACCCAGCAGTGTCTGTGCAGTGACAGAGTTGGGATGATTTTGAGGACTGAGGTATTGATATCTCTGGTGTAGCGGTTAGGCACTCTGCTGTTGGATGCAGAGACCAGAGTTTGATTTCTCAGTAGGGAAAAATTTTCATCTTAGGTCTCTCTGCTGGGATGTTGTATCCCTCTCAGTCAGGGTTGACCTTCACAGGCATGGTCAGAAGCCTGCCTCGTAAACTATCTAAATTGTGTCAGTGGGGGTATTAAAAACACTAGATCTACATTTTTTTAAAAGACAGAAGTGAGGTTTCTTCCTCTTTGTGGATATTTACTTAACCCTCTTAACGCTAGCTCTATGATGATGAAATGCCAAAACTGCTAAGTTTTTAAAACAATTTTTAGGGTATCCTTTCAAATGTCCTGTTTTTCATCAGTAATTTCTCTACATAACACCCAAAAACCATACATTTTCTGAAAGGTCCCATTTTGAATTTCACAGTAACACTAGCTGTCCATTGAAAATTTCTTGATTTATGCTAATTGTCTCATTTGCATGTCTAAGATTAGACATTCAATATCACAATATTTGATGACACAATAAAGATGACACAAAAACACTTCAGATGGGGGTTTTCTTACCTTTACTGGTTAGTCTTTGCTCTTTTACAAATTTTTTTTGGGAAGCAGTAGTGGTGGACCCCTTCTTTGCATGCAGTGCACATGGTACTGGTTTGCTTCCTCCCGCCTGTCTTTGATCTGTCACTGTAGATGGTGCAGTCCTCCTCCTTATTTTCGGAAATCTTCTCAAAACCTGTAAAAACCTCTCGGGGGGGGGGGGGGGGGGGGAGATTTGGAATGCATAAGGTCCTTGGCCAGTTTCTCAACAAGAAGAACACCATGTGGTATGGCCCTCTCGGCGGGTTGAGGATCATTTTGACGAACACACACAGTAACATTGACTTGTTCTGCTTTTGTCTTTGTTGAAAACATAAGCTCTGGGTTTTTTTGAGACTTCTACTCCCCATAGACTGCAGTTGGAATATCCTTCTTATTATAATATAGTTTCACCATGGTTCAGGATTTAAAAAAGCAGTTGGCAGGCCTCGGTGGTTACGTCGAACTGTTCTGGTGATGTATGTGCCATCTTTGAAAAGTTGTCACAGTAGACACGATAACTCTTTTCAAGGTAATTACCAGTAGTGAGAAGACCAGTCACAACTCTATGGCCTAGACTTGTATCTGGCTGGGCTGCATCTTGATCTCTCGTGCCTTTGTACACTCTGAAGGCTAGCACATAAGCTGTCGTTGACTCATAGAGCATCCATAACTTTATGCCCCACTTGTGATGATGCTTATTTGGCATGTACTATAGTATTGTAGTATCTGTTCTTTGTGCCGGTGAGACTCTCATCAACATATAATTGCTGGGTTGGTGTATGTGTGGCTGTTCAGGAAAACCCTTCACATGGGTCACTCTATCACTTTTGAGTTATTTACATATGTGGATTCTGCATTCAATTCTGAGCATTTTGCTTTTTGTTTGAATAGATTATCTTCAATAGATCAAAAGTTATGGCCGTTTATGTGTGGTACCCTCCGAAAAGTCACTTTTGAGAAAAAAGCACTTTAAAGTTTGCCTTCAGATTTGAGGCACCCCATGTGTTAATGATGTCAGTAAAACCTCTTTTCAAACTCAAAAATTGCATGCAAACCATTCCAAAACATTTAATTACAACACAGTGGTTAGTTGAAGAGTTAAAACAAGAATTTATGAAGTTGAATCACTTACAGTGGTGTATTCTGCCTGGCGTCATTGCTGTGCCTTGCTGAATTGGCCTCGGCAACGTCCCCGGCCACGTCCACATCCTCTGCCTCGTACATGCTGGTCTACTCCATTTGCCTGGCCTGGTATGGCCTTCTTCTTGGGAACAGGTGTATCCTCATCCTCATCACTGGGCTCTTCTGGTGGAAGTAGAAGTGTGGGGAAAGGGCTGAGGATGTCACGCTTGTCTGCTGCAACGAAGAGGCGTATTTCTTTATGAAGGTTGGCCTGCATCTGAGCACTGAGACCTGTCTTTGGAATGATCTCTGGCATGGTGTTCTGTTCAGGCATTTTCTTCAAGATGTCATAACTCTGTTCATTGGCGTCGATATTGGTTTTCACCTTCACAGATCCTGTCCATGCGAAAGTGGTGGAATGACTTTTGATCCCCTTGATTTTCCCCAAAAACTGTCAAATACGTTGTCCAGTCGTACGTTGGGACATCTGTCGGTCCATTTTCTGTTCCAATTAGCTTCCCAACTTTCATCTGGGATGACGTGTTGACTACATCAAGAATGTCCTGCAGACAGTCAACTTTTGTACGTCTGAATTTCCGCTTGATGAGGCCAAACCTCCATCGGGGCTGAATTTGGTGTGTCCAGCAATTAAGAAACTGAGATGAACCACATGATTCCGACCTGTTAGGCGCCTCCACAGAATGTACCACATCATCTGATTGTTTTTATTCTGCCCTGCACAGTTATCTGCGTGGGTGGTTGGCGGGTGCTCTGGTGTGGTTTGCTCCTTCTTTCCTATCAAACATGTATCGTCTTCATCTTCCCTCCTTCTATTTTGTGTTTGTTACTCTCTTGTAACACCTTTAATCTTCGGCACTTATATGACCTTATTGTGTTGCAAGAGCCGTAAAACACTTACTAAAACTAAACAGATGCAGATTCATTTCCCCCAGGCTGTGGTTTTCAAGGTAGTCGTGAAGGTATGAGATGACAACGTTGGCTGCTTTGCCAGTGTTGTGAGCTTTGTCGACAAGATAGTTCATCTGAATGGCACAAGCTTCGCTGTTGACCTCAAACAAACCACACTTTCTAGGTGTTTTACAATATATAGCGCCTGGTTGCTGGGGATCTTGTGGGTAGTGCATCTGCTGTGCGAAGTCAAAAGACACATGGTGGGTACCCTCAAAAGAGCAAGCAGGATGATTTCCCAGATGTAGGTCAGCTGGCAAATTCCGCTTCACTTCCTTGCAGACCTGCTTGTAGTAGGCCCTTTCCTTTTTAACAATCGAGAGGTGCATCTCTAACTCTTGTAGAACCTTCATTTTGTCGTCTTCCCTATTTGCAGAAGAACTAATACGATAGGTTCCTTGTTGGCACGTCCAGCAAAGATCACTGGAAGGAGGCATTGTGCGAACAAACGGAAGTAACTTCTGCCACAGTCGCTGAAACGTACAAAGTTCCACAATTCTGTAATGCTGCCCGTCACTTTCAGATTTTGCCTTGACAGCAGCTTTGTACTGGTTGTATACCGTCGTCTTAGTGCAGTCAGAGGGGAGGAGCTGTACATCAGAAGCCCAATGCTTGGGTTTGCATCCAGGTAGGTGAATTGCATGGACTTCAGCGAAGTTTAGAATGAAATCCACCACAGCCCTGGTTTCGGTGTAAGATAACGCCTTCTTGGGTAGCCTTTTCGAATTTCCATGAATCCTAGGCTCAACACCAGTTGCTTTGTAATGCTTGATCAAAGCTGTCAACCTGTCCTGACCAACACAGTGAAGATACTTAAAGAATTCCCTACACTCTTTAACACCACGATTGTAATAATGCGTGCGAGAAAACTTCCGTTTTGTTTGCTGACCTTTTCTTGACTTTCTCGTTTCACTGTCTTAAGTGAATGCCACTTTCAATCTTTGCCAGTAGTGCAATATCTAATTCAGTGGTGGTCAGTTGAGCATACTGGGTTCTGCAGTGTTCTATATCCTCACTTGAAAAGCTGAGGTGGCAGATGTACAAGAGCAAAGAATGTTAGTAGATTGTTCCTCAGACTGATTGCCAGCTGAACATGTTGTGTGTGGTACATCACCATGGTCCAAAGGGACGATCGACTCGGACAGATCACTCATCACTAACTGAAAGGCACCGTCCTTCTCCTCGACACGCACAGTGTTGTTTGTGATATCTGAGGTGGTAAATAAGATTTCTAAAAATTACTTGACTTGAAGAGTTGAACGTGAACTTCACTTGACGTGATGAATGTTATTGCTTGTTGAAACAAAGACGGCCTACATTTTAAAATTGAATTACAACCAAACAAAAGCAGAACTTAGTTAAAAAGTAGAGAGAAAGACCTTTGTTTTGGTATGAGGCACGACCTAATTTTGCATTATGAGTGTGTTCAAATCGCGTAATGGAATCGGGGGGGTTTGACAGACTAAATCAGGTGCTGTTTTTCCACATTGGTGCTGAAAACCTTAATTAGGGGGGCTTCAAATTACACTTTGAAAATAAGTACATTTCTAAACTGATTTAAAGAAAAAGATCAAAAGAAAATGAAAGATAAATGAATGAAGAAACCAATCATGATAATAACTCAATTTCGACCAAAATTATGAAATTTGTTTTTGGAAGCGCTTAGCTCAAGACTAGAGCCAGCAACTGCCGACGGGTAATCCTAGATGGCCACACATATAGTATCTTCTAAAACCTACATTTGAATGGGTCGTAGCCAGCTTGTCCAGGTGCTTGAAGGTTATCGTTGTTTACAAGATGAAAAAAATTTAACAGCAACTCAAACTTGTCCCTAGCAAATGATTTATTGAACCATGGTGTATGCTGAGAATCTCTTCTTTTTCATCAAATATGAAGATATTGTAGGCTTCCTGATAAGTCCCATATGGAGGAACACAGCGAAAAACGCCTTCATCTGGGAAACAGTGGTGTCCACCCACTTATGTGCTCTTGAGTGCTCCTTTAGGGTGTCCCTCTTTCTTTGAATAAACTGTCTGGCATATTCTATTTGTCTCTACAACACTGTTTATAAAAATTGTAGTTAAAAAACCCCAAAGTAAAGTACTCTACAGGAGTAGAATTTCTAGGAGGCATATGCCTTGGGCCTGACAACTCCTGGAAAGGGTGGGCATTGTTATCAGTTGGCTCAGGCAGATAAACCCTGAACCATAGTTGAGGACCAGCATCATCAGCCCTCTCATCTTCACTTTCTTTCACTCACTTCACTGTCAGAATTTTCTTATTACAATGTATCTGAAGCTAATCCTTCCTCATCTCCACTACCTAGAAACCTATCTCCATCTTCACTGACAATGGCTTCAGACATCCTTACTCAACCAACAAAATAACTTCCACTTAACTCAATTCTTCCAATCACAGCTCAGCCATGTGAGAAAACATATGGCTTCAGTATCAGGGGAAACTACTGTGGAAATTGTAAAAGATTCGTAGCGCTCATACTTCATCTTTCTTTTTAGTCGGACCGATGATCGGCTGCTTCATGATTTACCCAAGTCAGGTTTGGGCAGATAATCGGCCCAAATAGCGCTAAGAGGGTTAAATCCTGTCGTTTTTCATTATTGCACGGGAATGCAAAAGTTCTGAAAAAATGACATCTATTTTTTTGTTCTGCTCTATATTCTTTAATGCAGTTGCTGTCGTCCATGTGTACCAAGTGTTGAAATGTTACTCCAATAAGGTTTCTTGACAAGGTGTCAAATTGTTGGGGTATTTCCTCTTCTTCAGTGGCTGCATCTTGGAGTTTTGTGGAGGTTGGAACCACACTGGATCCAGAGATCCAGAGTGAGCAAAACAATTTGTGATTGTGCTGGCTTC